CACTCACTGTCCATACATGATCTGAGATCTTTTGGGAAAAATTTTTGCAATTGATCATTAAAGATTGAGAAGCTTTATGGACTAACTTAACTCATCTTACTGGTAAAAGATTTTGCACATTAGAGATATAACTACAAGAACCTCAGACTTCAGAATGAAACAAGGATTATAAAAGAAAAGGATTCTCCTGGGACATTTGAGCATGTAAACAAACTGAAAATATTGACAGCGTGAAATTTCTAAACTATAATTTTCTAAAACACGGTCTTCAAACTGTTAACCAACTGAACCATAAGAAAATCAAATTTTGGAAATGAATATTTGTGCACAAGAAAGGCAAGCAGGTCAAAATTTACCATATGAGCAGGCTCCACAATTTGAAACCCAGTTTTATATCTGAACATGGCAACAAATTCATCTGAAATTCACCATAGTTGAGACACAAATCAGAGAAGCACTTAAAGTCGAATATAATTAAAAATAAAAAACAAAGAAGAAAATTTGGAAAAGAGCTAAACTTCATTTTGTACTTAGCATGAGATTGGATTCTTTTCGACCCGAGCTATGGTCGACAATGATGATGCCATCTTGATCACGTACGCCATGTGGGTACTCTAAATATTCCATTTTCATCTTGATCATCATTTTCCACAATATTTTACCATGTTTAACTGTATGTAGTTACAATTAAAAGCCTTCATATACTGATTATTATATATATATATATATATATATTGATAGTAATACTTTTCTGATGTCTAAGGAAATTAATCAAACACTAATTGCACCCTTTAATTGAAATGCCAAAATATATAATTAATTTTTTTTAGAAATAATGTATGATTTTGACTCAAAGAAATCTGTACATTAAATTTTTATCAATGTCAATTTAATTAATTTTCCGTTGGAGTGGGACTTCCACTATCCCCAACATCATACTTGAGATCTAATAGCTCAAATATCAAGCTCTCATCACGTGCAAGGTCTACGAATACCTCCTAAAACCCACAAACACAAAATCAATCATTCACAATTGTTGATAAGTATGCAAAAAGAAAGTTTATTCTTGAGGGAGAGAATATATAACAAAAGAGGGATAA